TAAAGAGGACCTCTCTGAAGTGGGGCTGGGATTGAAGGGGGAACCAGCAGTGTAGTTCCAGCCAGGGAGGAGGTAGTGCTTTCTTCTGGTGCAGGTAATTGTGAGCATAAAGGGTGCATTTCTAAAGTTTGCCACAAACTTCACTGGGGTAAAATGCCAGGTTAGAAGTTTTATAAGCTTAGCAGTCTTATCACAAAATCTAAGTGCTGAAGTAACCTCCACTGCTATTCATAGAACGAAAGCATCAGCTCTGGGCTGCTGAAGGAAATTGTCCATGGAAACCAATATATGATCTTTTAGCACAGTATTTTCTCTTACTAAATTGATCTTATGCACATTTGTGTGTCTGTGTACGCATATTATCCAAAAACTAAACCATTAAGGCTTGAGTGATTTTTTTTAAGTTATATCAGTGAGAAGTCGAGGAGTCATTTACCTGAAATCACTGTTCTTCCAAAAAAGAAGCAGTGTGGGAAGCAGTTTTGTTATTATTACACATAGGTATTTTCAAATGATAAGTAGTGGGACATTAAGGGAGATCTTTAAAATAACAGCCTGAGTAATTCTAGAATTGCCACAGCTATCCTATATAATGTGGCTTTCATTTGTACTTATTATGAAAGTAAGCATTAAATTAGCCCTCTGTCAGGATAAATGCAGTTACATCAGCTGCCGGAGGAATTATATTACTGAAAGAGTCAGGGTTTTCATTTAAAAGAGTGAAGACAATTATTGCAGCTGCTTTGGAAACTGAGCTTGGCTGAAGGAGAAAGTAGGAAGCTGAGGTGTGTGAGAAACACAAGGAAGTTGAGCAGCAATTTTACACTGCAAGGAGAATTTAGCAGCAAAAATGTGATTTGTGTTCTTGCTCTCAGTGAGCTAAAAGATCCTCAGTCCAGAAGCAGCATAGTTGTTCTCCATCCATGGTTGGTCTTGAATTTCCAGACCAGGGACTAAATGCTGATTCTGTGAGAGAGGTTCCTCAAGTAATCCCAGGGCTTGCTCCAAAAAAACCTTGGCTCATGATCACTCTGTCAGCACTAGGCTGGGCAGAAACTGCTTTGGTTATATAGCTGTGCTTTGGGCTGAACATCTTTTAATATTGACTTCAGCAGGTGCCAGGGTAGGGATTCTGGGAGTTGTCGTACTTCAATGCCTGTGGCTATTAGGTGTAGGGAGTAGAGCATCATCAAGTGGCTTAAAAATTTTCTTTGTAGCTTCTCAACAGAGGACCAACGTTTTGAGCGATCAGCCCCATGGGATGATCTGATTTTCTCTCTAGGATATTGTCAGCTGAAGTATGTGAGTGGTCCTTGACCACTGGCGTAATACTGGCAACTTCATGCTCGCCTTGTGCTGAGCTGAGATAGAAACTGTCATGTTCCTCTGGTCAGAGCAGTGCTAGAGGATCTCAGGCACAACATGGTCCTTGTGGCATTTCTTAGGTACCACCGCATGAAGTGGAAGCTTCTGGTGGTATACAGACCTCACAGTCACCTTGCCCCATTGCAGGTACATGGAAATTGGCTCCTCGATCGCCTTCATCCCTTTTGATGAATTTACACTTGTCTAATTCAGGCTGAAGGAAGATGCATTGAGACGGGAAAAATCAAACTATGTGAAAAGGAGGGCTTCTCACCATCCAGAATCTAGGCGCTCTGAGTAAGGTTATCCGACATGAAAAAACAAACCAAAACAAAAAAAGAACTAACTCTGTTTCTAATACATAATATTGAAATACAGTTGCTGCAATTCATACGTATACAAATACAAATACAAATAATACAAATTGATGAATACACGATATTCATCCCTTCCATGTTTTCCAGCACCCTAAGAAATTTCCGGAATACCATGTTTTCAAGAAGGGCAGCACCGCACATTTAAAATTTGGCCAAGGAATTGTCTTTTTTTTTTGGAATCACATGCAGAGCTGTGATCAGTTTAATTCTTCAGCTTTCATCTGTAGAGACCCAAGGCATCGGGCCATTCACTTATATGGATCTTTCAGAAGTGATTTTCATTTTCTAGAGAATAAGAGTGGTTGCTGTATGGGGGGTTCTTTGCCTATATTTTCCTTCTTAATACTGTTTAAGAATCTCAAAACCTCTGCCCTTCTGCCTGCTACATTTCACTGCTGTGGAAATATATATATTTATATATATATGTAAATATATATAGGCGGGGGTGTGTGTGTGTGTGTAAATATACATGCATGTATATATATATATGTATATATAAATACACTGAAAGACTTTGGGACAGAAAGTGCAATATAAAGGCAGTTATTATGACACTGCAATCGTAGAGTATCTTATGATGTCCTGTTAGGCATGCTGTATTTGACACCTAAGTCACAAGATTTAGTACTATGGGCCCATTCTGCATGAATATCCAAAGCACATATGCTGGGACAGTCCGTTACTGCTCTGGATTTTACAGAGTTTATGTTTTTAGTCACCAAACTGTGTGGGCTAATCTTTTCAGCACTGTAAAGGCACCAGAGTGATGAATCCTAAGAGTCAGTAGAGTATTTATACTTGTTGAACTAATTGCCAAGGGTGCTGCAGTTAAGCACTTAAAACCCCCTTAACAGTGGGACTGCAGTGACTGGAAATCATTCCCATACTACCTAGCATGTTCCTGCACTGAATTTATGTATACTTAAAAAATTTTGTTAAGTCTGCCATAGCCTGCCACAATCAATGCTAATTGGCCCCCTCTGGTGGACAATCTTGATAGAAACAGAAAAGAACAGCTGAAAATTGCCACGGAAAGTTGCTTTTCCACTTGCTGAACTTGTGCAGAAAAACTATTGAGGCATTTTTAGGAGAAAAGTGCACTGTTCTGACTTTTGTCGTAAATAGTCTGTAACCTAAGAGCCATATACTGTCTAAGGGTGTCAGTTCAATAGGTTTTGTCAATACCGGAATAACTGAATTTAAGATGGGCCACGGCACTTGTTGCCACATCAGCAATGAGGACAGTGTTACAGTTCTGTAACACGCAGGATTCATGTCCAATTCTACCTTTGACTCCTGGTGACTCAGGGCCAGCTATCTAAACCACCACCGCCCTCCTTACCATCTCGGCCGTGAGATGGTTCAAGGCTCAGGGATGAACTAACGTTCCCCCCCGGAGGTCAGTAGCTGGGACCCACAGCAGCGGGAGAGACGGCTGCTGGGTCCAAAGTGAATGTCACCCCACGGGACCCATCTGGATGCTTCCCTTCATGTCCTGCCCCAAGAGAGCAGAAACATGGCGCATTGCTGAGGTGTTTTCAGCTGATGTCTTGATGATAGGTCGTTCAATTGCAAAACTTCTTTTAAGGGTAGTAGTCCAAAGAGCTTGTCCCTGGGACCTGTTCAGCAGAGCTGCTGTGTTGTGTGCACAGGGACACGCGCCTGGCTCTCAGAAGAAACCTGGCCCTAGCGAAGCTGGCCCAGCACCCTTTTCTGAGGATTGTGTTTTGGAGGTGTGTTTTTTCTTGGACTTTCTGGGGAGCAGATATGTGCTCCAGAGACCTCAGTTATTCTGTTCTGACGTGGATATTAGTATCCACCCCAACCCTCTGCCTGAAAACTGAGGGAGGAATCTCAAAAGTCTGGGTGCTTTTCCAGGGGTGACACTTTTGCCACAGCATCACCATAAAACCATGGTTTCAACTTACTGCCTCCTCACCTTGAAATGCTGATGTTTATCTGTGTCTTATTGCAATTACTGCACTCAAACCACTTGGGCCCTGTGATGAATGGCTCGTGCAACAGCATTCCCTTATAATGGCCAAATCCCGAATATGCCACTTGGGCATTGCAGGCTCCGGCTACAGTCAGACATGGATATATGAAGAAGTGGGATAGAATGATTGCTCAGATATCTCACAGATAGCCCAAAATATCAAGGCAAACTGCAATTCAATACAGTGGCTTAAGCCAAAGCACTGAAGATAGTGGAGAAACCCTTCTTTTGTCCACGAATTAAAGCCCTAATAGTAGGTAATAGTCCTGTTCAGGGAATATATCTTTTGGAGCTCATTTACCCATCGCTGCTCAGGAATTACCACGGCACATGCCTACATCAGCATAACAACACCCTGCAACACTCACCGTTTGCTGTTGCTTGACCGCTTAGTGTGTGTGCATGATTCCTCTGCAGTTGGGACCTGACTTCATAGGTTTTCTTCTAATTAAAAGAAGATTACAAGATACAAAAGAAGATAATAAGAAGGGTTTGACCATAGAACAGATGAGGGCCTAGTCTGATTTGGGAAATGCCTTGGAGAGAGGAGAAAGAAATTGCTTTCATTGGCTCCTGATTATCATTTTCTCTAATGACACAAACTCAAAATATTCTGTTTGCTGGGTAACGACGGACATCCTTCATCACCAGCCTCCAGAGTCACTGCGGACAGCATGAAATTCATTGCAAGGAATTTTTTACTGAGCTTGTACTGTAAAATTTAATGTCTTTGAGTTTCTAATCTGTACCCCTTTACATTTCACATTACAGCATTACATAGAATATTCCTGCTATTAGAAAAGAAAATAGCAATATCAGTAATATTTCAAACCAAGCTCTAAAGTTGAATTTGAATATCTACTCAGCTGTCACAAATTAAATTGCATTAGCATCTCGTGTTTTCACCCACTGAGAGACTTCCCAGGCGAGAACACGCTACAATAATACATTTTAATTTCGGTCCTGTTGCCCTGACTACAAAGCAAGCTGCGAGTCATCAGATTCTTTTCCTGCACGTTGTTTCCGAGGGAGGTCTGCAAGGTGAATGCCTAGCTCTGTTGATAATGTCTCAATTGCTTTACCGAGCGCTCCTGTACAGGTAGCAGTGGGACTGTTATCTCATTTCATTTAGTGTAATGTGGCTGTGGATGCAGCATCTCCTTTCTCTCCTGAAAAAATGCTTTTAATCCTCTGCAGAGGGCAGAAATGCTCATACATTGCACTGAAATGTAATGCTTCTCTTCGTCCTGATTGCGTGATGGGAAGGACAGCCTCATGCAAGGGACACGAGGCTGGAGCAGAGAGGCCATGGCAGGTGGTCCTCGGGACCACAAAGACTTGAGGATGTTTTCAGTTCCACATTTGATGATAGATGTGCATGGGAGTTTGGGAGGATGGATGTTATGGGGGAGACCAAAAAGGCTAGAAATTCCTTGTCTTCCAAATTATAGCTCTAGATTCCCGTTTGGCTCCTAACGCAGATCACCTGGAGAAACACCTTGATTCTCCTCCAGCTGTAATATGGATAACTTCCTTCTCTTACATAGGTATGGGGAGAGAAAGTCAACAAACTAGGTATTAGAGATACCCAAATCATGCGCTACCTGCACAAGCTGTCTGCAAGACACAGCATTTTGCTATTAGAGCCAAAGGATAACATTGTTTTGCGGAGAGCAGAAGCAGGTCTGCACTTTAGCTGCGGCTGAAAAAATGGTCCCATTAGGTCAGTCTCTAAGTAAAACTACTTTTACATATTTAAGACCAGATCCATAAGTACCACAGAGAGACACAAGATGACTTCTCTTACTGTCCAGCTATCTTTCTTCTCCCCACACTACACATTATCCTATTTATATCAATAAATAAAGTGCTTATCCCAGACTGCTGTCGTAAGACCCTCAATTTCTCCAGCCCACAAGCAATGAAGTTGTCTCACATCAGGTGCATGGTCTGCTTCCTTGTTCTCAGGATATTTAGACGTCCTGCCAAAGTTGGTACTAGCTTCCCCTCTATCTTGTTCTTGAATATGCTAAATTGGGCCTGGTGACATCAGACTGCACAATCAGCCCAGGAAATCGGTATCCAAATTAAAGGAGCTGGTTTAGGCTAGCCTAAAAGGGAGCAAAACCACTCCCTGATACTAAAATTACTGTGAGTCTGCCCTTGTGTGTGTGTGAAGGGACGTGACACAGAGTTTCAAGTGCTGAGAAACTCTCAGTTTCTTTCCTAGTCTCTTGGGAGAATTTGTTTGCTCCTCAAGGGCATTGCTGCAGGTCTGTGAGCTGTCAGTGATTTAACCTGCGTGGAAATAATACTCAAGCAAGCACACGCTTGAGGGTTTTACGTTTGGATGGTAGAGGTGTGATGAAATAGCAGCAACGTCGCAGACTAAGTGTACTATATTTAGACGCTCAGGGCATATTTCCTACTAATTGAGGACAATTTCCTCTGCCATCTTGACCCTTGGGTTTACTTCCCAGCAAGAAGCAGGCAGAGATGTGAGGCAGGACAGACATACGCTTCTCTGAGACCTGTCCTCGACGTTACTTCTTTTCTTTCTGGCCACCCACAGGCTTTCCAGAGACAGACATTGTTCTCAAAGGCTGCCAGGTCTGTACGAGGCACCCCACTCTGTCCTACTCTTTCCAAGCTTCACAAGCCACAAAAGGAGGACTTTAGGGCTTTTGCTTCCAAAACGACCCCAACAAAAGCTGCGCGGATTTCTTACGGCACTGAGAGACTCGCTGGCCATGTCAGAAACATAGATTTCTAGATTAGGAAAAAATGGAACTTTTCAGGCCACGCAAACACCTACTTGCACCATTTTTATGCCATGAGCTGTGATGAGGGACGCGTGAGGAGGAAATCTGGGTGTGTGAAGATAGTTGTCTGGAGGCCTGTGCTCCCTAGCAAGCCCCCTCAGACCTGTGTGTCTCTATAGGAGCCATATGATCCACAGTGGCTGGCGCTGGCTCCTTGCGTATCAGTCTCTGTATTGCCCTCCTGGGATGTGATGGAAATTTTTAAGATCCTCTTTTAAACCTGGGCCCTGCTTAACTGCTGATATGCCCCACTCCAAGAATAACCATCTGTTCTTGTGCTTCTCTTTCAGGCAGCTGATCCTGCCACAGAGGGCGTTGCAAAACCTATCAGGACAGGTAAGACACCTAAAACACCTATTGTCGATAGGTGCAATTTGTCTGATCTGTAATGCAAATATTGCCCAAGATGACAGCTAAGTTAATTGTGCACATCTTAGCCTTTCACATAAAATTTCTTCTTGCTGAAAAGCCAAAGCGGTGGAAAAAAAAAAAAAAAAAGCTTTCAAATTACTCGGTACCTCCGGAAACCAGCACATGGCTGAGGAAATAACAAGCATTTCTGAATTTACCCTGAGGTGTCTTTGCAACATAGCATTTTTGCCAGAGGATGTGAACATCAGTCTGACTATTGGGTCTTGGTTTAAAGGCTGGCTCCTGCACATGTGGGCGTAGCGTCCCTGTTTTTGCAAGCCCTAGGTGTAAAGGTGTTGGCACATGTCTCAGAGCAACTAACTCTTCCTTGGCTAGAGTAGTCACATGTTTCTTACTAGTTTGTGGGGAAAAAGGAGGAGAGGAGGTGTAGGCCTAGGAGAAACAAATGGAAAACAACAGCAAGAGATGCAGAGCAAGAAATTAAAACAGGCAGATTATGGACACAGGGAGCCCAAAATAGGTGAAAACTTTCTAACAAGACTGTGTGCCAGGATGCTGCTTTTCCTTAGCGTAAATCAGGAACAGCCCTATTTATTTTGTTGCAATTGCTTCCCAGGTTATATGGCCCTTAGCACCGAGTATTTTGGCCTATTGCAAACAGGACTGTCTACTCAGCCCAGGTGGATAGGAGACGCTATGTCCTTGCACGCTACATAGGGGGAAACTGAGGCACGGGATTCATCTAGAGGAGTTAGCAGAGTCAGGAATCAAAATTCAAGGTCTAGAGAGTCCTAGCTATATAACCAGCTTTTCTGCACCTCAGTATTTGCACAGAGTTATGGTAACACAGCCTCTGGCCAGTGTATCCTCTGCCTCAGAGAATTCATGCCCCAAAGGTCTTGAAGTGGTCCCTGCATGTCACAGTGGCCTTCCTCTGAACTTCACATTGGCCTAACCAACGCTTTTTTAAAACTCATTTAAACTGGAGGCATTTTCTTCTCCCTGGGCCAGGACATCCAAAGCACATACGGGTTTTTCTCCATCATCTGAAGTATCTCATTATGTCTTGCTAAGAGTTTCCGGTGCTTTATTTTGTACTTGAAGCTCCTCAGAAGTAAAGCAGGATCTTGATATACAAGGCAGAGGTGGATAAGGGCATTTGGGCAGTCGTGTCACCGTGGCCCTCCAGCACGACCCGCGGGGTGCCCAGAAGGGAGCCGTTACACGGGCTGTGGAAGCTCATCATTGAGTTGCCTCAGTTAATCCCTACCTAATGGTTTGCCTAGTGCCAGCCTCTTCAGCTGGGCTGTTTCTAACCTCCCATGGTCTTTGATGGCGACAGAAAGGCAAGCAGTGACTGCGAGAAGGTATGGCCCGAGAGAGACGCTCCAGAGCTGAGCCTCCGCTCTCATAAACCAACATAACCTCAGAGGAGTCACCAGAACTGTGCTGGTTTTTATGGTTGAGTTTTACCACTAGGTAGCAAGAAGTAGCAAAAGCTGTTGGAGTAGAGTATAGTGATTGACAGAGGAGGAGCCACAGAGACGTTATCAATCAGTTGGTACTATTTTAATGCAAAGCAGGAGCACTACTGGCTTTACCAGAGCGGGAAGGAGGAGTCTCACTAATTCAAAAGAAGTGGGTTGATTTTTTTTTTTTTTTAAATCAGCCAGCTGGTGCCGACTGCTTTCTCTCCTCATCAATAACCGGCAGGTGTCAGGCAGGAGGAATTTGCTGTCTCGGCAAATTTACAAGATGTTGTTTCATTAGCTGCAAACCTTTTTGTCTTTAGGCAAATATAAATTACAGGCACCCTCTTATTCTGAATCCTGCTGGTAAATCTGAGATGATGCCATGAGTGAAAGATCGAGCAGGGAATGAGAGAGAAACCCTGCAAGGCAGGAAGGGTTTCTGAAAGCGGCTCGCGATGGGTGTAAGCACTTTATCAGCCTAGCCGTCATGGCCTATCAGGATCTATTATAGGGCTCTGGCAGGGTAATGGAGTGTTAAAGTGTGAGTGAATTACAATGGCCTTTTATTCTTCTGCTACAATGCATAAAGCGGGGCTAATTGATTAATTTATCCCACGGGTTAATTTATGGAGGCCCCATCGACAGGGAAGTTTGTGGCCCCGCACTAGGCATCGCTCACTGACTTCTAAGCAGGGAGAGGCAGTGACCCACCACGAGGTCCCGGCGGGCAGCACGGGACAGAAGCACGATGCGGTGCCGCCGGACGGCGCCGGTGGTGAGGCTCAGGCAGAGGCTGCTGGAGATTTAGATGTGCAGGGGTGTCTGCTACGCAGGCAGCCCGGACGTTGGTAGCATAATCTGGCTGTATGCTTCACCCTCTGGTTCACAGCAGCGAAGCTGTAAGAGTGGCCAAGGACGGAAAACTGAGCAACAGCAAGTTGCCAGTGCTCAGCCTCGCTCAAGCCCTGCATGTATCTTTGGACCGATGGGGAGACTAAAGGTATTGGCTAAACGGGTGTTACCTGCTTGTGCAAAACACCGTGGAGGTGCTAAGCAGGGGGTGCGGGAGTGTGCCAGTGAGAACACTTGGGTTCCCGCAGGTGGAGACTGCTCTGCAACGTAAATGGATGGTGGTCTAGACATTGCTACTTCCCCGAATCAATTCAGTAACGCTAGAACAGCCAACCAGAAAAAAAAAAAAAAAAAAGAGCAGTATGATTGCATTTAGATTTCTGATGAGATTATATGCCATTACCAGCTAAATGCCGGTGGGCACTAAAGCAGACTTAGGGAAGGCGTACATTCCTGACTCAGCTGCCAGTCCTCCATGGATGGGTTTGCGGTAATCTGCAAGCGGTGCCTGAGAGAGATGCTAATTAAACGTTGGTGTGAAAAACGACACCAGTGTCCTGAAAACCTCTTTGCCATATTCAGTGGAATGGCTGAACAACAGGGGAAATAATTAAATTTTCCAGGAAATAAATATTTGTGAAACGTTCTTTCAGTGGGCATATTTCTCTGTGGAAAGCCATCCACTTTTCACTGCCACTGAATCACATACTAGTAAATACTACGGAGGTATTATCGTTGCATTCACTTTATAGAGGGGAAACCAAGGCACAGAGAGATTTGTAATGACCTGCCAAGAATCAGTTCTCACCATGTCCTAGCTGTCCTCTCCAAGTCTTTTTTCCCTATAAATGTTGAATTCCTTCATTGCCAGCTTTTCCTGTCATTATTTGAATCATAAAGACACAGTAGCAAAATCTGTTCTCATGTACAAAAGGAAAATCCTAGAGATACACATGCACGTGCACACCATATATATTTTTGTCTGGCAGTAAGACTGATGAACAGACAAGCAAAGAAAAATAAGCATCCCGTTCACAGTTTCAAAAGGAAATGGGTTCCTGGAGAAAAATCTGACCCTGAGAATTTAAGATAATACAGACGACTCACATCCTTGCTACACTAAGGTAAATCAGACTGCAGCTAATGAAGCAAAGAGCGTCTTTCCAGATTTGCAGTGGTATAACTGAGTGCAGTTTGGCCTCCTGCAACTAAATCTGGTCTCTTGCAGCCCGGAGGGTATCAGTCAGTAATCCTCCTCCGAAATGGACATCTCACATTCAGACCACAGAGATTTTTATTCTCTCTGCTGCAGTGCCTGCATGTGTTCATATGTACGTATGTGAAACTCTGTCTACTTTTAGGGAAGTCAGGGCAGATGAGCTGTGTTCCTCACTTTAAAAGATCTGGTAAGCCTAGGTTTGCAAATGCTAGGGAGAGCGCGCAGGCATCCTCCCAGGCAAGCATCCGGAGGAGACTGCAGCTAAACGATGTCAAGTTAGTCACAGCAGGCGGCTGGTTTCTTATTTAGTTAATAATAAGGCGATTGGTATTGCCAAATGATGGCTCCTCTGTCTCTTCAATACTTAAAACACAAGTTATCGGGCTGTGTAGTCAAATAGCTGATGAAATTACGTGGCCTGTGTTATACTGGGGAGCAGGCTAGAGCGCTGGTGAGAAACGTCACTCGGGGACACTTAGCCTGGCTTTACTTTACTGGGCCGGTTCCCTCCGACCTGTCTACCCCGGCTGGCTGGCAGCTGCTCGCAGGACGTTTAACTGGAAGAGGTTGAGTCGAAGATAGTTAGGGGAACTTCAGATAGGCACTGCAGTGAAATAAGAGGAAGTTAGTCCTGCTAACTCCAGTGTACTGCTAGAGACAAAATCACCTTGCCTAATTTTAAATGCACTTAAATTAGAGTAGGGGGAGGGGTTGAAAGCTGTGTATGGCCGGCCTTTGCCTCTTAGGATGTTTTTCTTATTTAATTTATCCTTAAGACGAGTTCAAGTATTTGAACTGCTGTCCTGCCTGTGCACACTCAAATCTCCAGCCAGCCCTAACGCTGCAGGTGCTGCAGAGGGATTGCACTGCCAGAGGTGACTGCTACTCGGATGGGACTCAGATGCCCTGCGCGAGGGGCTATGCCCATCTCGGTAGCAAAGCTTTGCCCTGCCAAGCTACTTGGTTTCAACACCCTTTATCCTGCGGCTACGCCCATCTCACAGATGGGGGAAACTGA